GGTCTGAACCCAGAGGGACGGCAGGGGCGGGGCTGGGAGGTGGGCAGAGCAGTTCCCGAAGGGCCTTGCGGCCCTGCTAAAGAACTTGAACTTTGTTGTGAGGGCAGTGAGACGTTGTATCTGCGGTGAAAATGAAAAAAAATGGAAAAGTAGTTTCTAGACATGAGCCCTCGGTAGCTGTTAGAGAATTTTTATGTAAGGCACCCAGTGAGGTTCGGAATAAGAGCTAGGGTCTTGCCCTGAAGCTGTTTTTAGATTAATAATATATTGACAATATAATGTTAATAACAAAATAAAAAACAAAACAAAAAAACACTGCCATAATTCAGTTTTGACTCATAGCGACTCCCATTGAGTTGCTGAGGAAGTAAATCTTTCCGGAAGTACATTGCCCCATCTTCCTTCCGCAGAGTGGCTTGAAGATTTGAATGGCCAACCTTCTGGTTAGCAGTCAAATGCCTTAGGCACTGTGCCACCAATTTCAGATTCACAAGAAGATACAATCTCACAAAGGGATACAATTATTGGCCAGGTTTTTATCTTAATATAGATAAGATGATTAAAACACTAGCAAGAAATGCAGGAATGGCAGGAGGAAGAAACAAAGAAAAAACAGAAGACTTTAGGATTGAGGAAGCAATTTTGATAAGAGCTCCTTGGTAGAAGAAAGTGTTCTTTGATATAGAAGGAAGAACTAGATAGTAAGTGTGGGTCAAACAGCAACCGTTATGAGGAAGACGCAGGACCAGGCAACATTATTCATTCTGCTGCATGGAAGGTTGCTGTGAGTCAGAATCAACTCAGTGGCACCTAACAACACGGGTCAAAAAATTTCACAAGCCATGTTTTTTTGTGAGCATAAGTATAAGAGCTTGCTTTTGAAATGCAAACATAGGATTATGAATTTCAAATGAACTGTTGGAAGGTTTACTGAAATGTCTCTAATACTGTTCCCTAGATGTTCTTTGGGAGCTCTGGTAGCATAGTGCCTCAGGCACTTGACTGCTAACCAGAAGGCTGGCGGTTCAAACCCACCAGCCACTCCTCGGAAGGAAGGTTGGGCAATCTACTTCCGTAGTGATACCATCTTGGAAACCCAAGGAGGGGTCACTATGAGTCGGTCGGACTCAACGGCAAACAACAACAGATGTTCTTTATGCTTTATCATCCAGAGACATTGCTACTGAGGGAAAATACATACAACATAACCGCTTTCTTTTGTTACAGAGAGTGGCTTTTCAGTTTGGAGGCTCTTATTCAGAACAGGTGGGTACAACTTTATGCCTCTAGGAATTAAGGCATGAAAAGAAGAAAGCTATCACTTCTGAGTTTGACAAGGTGGTTGCCAAACAGTAAGGAAAGAATCACACTTACATATATTTTCTTATAGCAAACCATGTGTGTATGTTTTGTATTGTATTACAGAAGTTTGCTAATAAAGATAACACCAAAAATTAGAATCATCTAGAGGAAATGCCAGTACTATGTCTCGATGCATGAATTCAAAAGTCTCTACGACAGACTGTCTTGTTTTAGGGGTAAGTGTGATTTCGTTTTGATTGACTAAATGCAGAATCATGTACTATTTCAATGTAAAAAAGGAATATTATTAGATCTGGAAAGGGACAGATTTTGTTGTTTAGGGGTAAGTGTGATTTCGTTTTGATTGACTAAATTCAGAATCATGTACTATTTCAATGTAAAAAAGGAATATTATTAGATCTGGAAAGGGACAGATTTTGTTGTCAAAGGGTAAACGCTTATTTTAAAAAAATGGTTAACTCTTCTACAAATTTTGACTGATCTCATGTCTCTTTGTAAACAAATGTGCTTAGACATAAGCATACTGACTAAACCAACACATAGAGGGTAATAATGAAATCCACATATGGAAGAAGAGGGAAGAAAAGGAGAGCTAACTCTGAAGAAAAGATCTGCTTAGTACACTGATGTCTCTTCTGTTCAGTTATAAACACTTGAGGCTCTGGACAGTGATCTAATTCTCTTACTAAACCCCAAGGAATTAGGATCATCCTCTTCCACATCACAGGGGAAGAAACTTTTCCACTCGATTTTAACTTTTCCTCTAAATTTAGCTACTGTGTAGACCAGTTGTCAAATCAGACTGTTCGGCAGAGGTTCTTAACGTTTTTGGGGTCACAGTATGAAATTTCTGAATCTTTTTTCCCTGAATAATGTACATATTCACAAGCCTTTGCATGCAGTTTTGGAGGAGTTACAACCTCCTGGAATATATTCATGACCTCTAGATTAAGAATTATTTTTAAATATATAAAATCTTGTCCTTTTCCACACACTAGCGACCTTACTTTTTTGTAGAGTTCTTTACAAGGTTTAGCCCACTAGAAATTTCGTAGTTTTATATAGAACAACTGCCAGTCATATAAGCAGGGCCACTGTTTTGCAAACCCACTCACTCCTTTAACAGTAGGGAAAAGAACAAGGAATTTATGTTCTTGATACCTGCGTGCTTATACAAGAGGTATTTACTCAATGCCTGCCCTGTGCCAGCCAGCCAGCATATTGTGGGTTGATGATATAAAAATGCGAAAACCAAACCTCAGACCCTCAAGAATCTTGCAGCCTAGCAGGGGATGAGCCTCCTATTCATACCCAAAGAAACTCTGGAAACAACACCATTCTTTAAATTTGATGCAGGGGAAACTTCAAGTTCTAAGTTGATAAAAATGAATATGTTTGTTACACAAAAAACAGGCTTTCTATCGAAAAATTTTCCTTAAAATGTAACTTTAAAATTGGCCATTTGCATTTATATGTTTCATAGATATTTGGTGTACAAAGTATGTACTTTGTACATACTTTTAAAGTTAAAATATTCAATAGCTTCCTATTAAAGTTTATATGAAAATGAAAATAACATACCCTCTGATTTTTTTTTAAAGATATTTTTAAAGAATAATTAAAAATGGGATTCCTTATATGAAACATCAGTTTACATATAAATTCACAAACAAATTTACTGGAACATATTTACTGTTACTATAATACATACAGATTAAAGTTAATTCTTAGATTAATTCTCCCCTACCCTAATCCATCCCTGACCCTATGTGAAGACTTGGTGCAAGCAAGTCAACCTTGGATATCTTTTATTCTCTGTGTTGGACTGTCCCCTGTCCTCACATCAGCATGCTTATGGAGAACTCCATACCAGTAATCCCTGAAAGAAAAAGTCAGGTATTTCATGCTTAATTAATTACAGAAGCACAATAAGGTATGAGATACATGGTTTTCTGCACCCAAGTAGATTAAGAACCACATTTTCTCTCAAGTAACCTGAGTACTGTCTCATGTCATTATTTGATGGGTGAGAAGGGTAACCAGCACTAGCATCGGACTGTCGGCTTTCTTATGTGGTAACTGGCCCGTGCTACTACTGTTGAAGGGCCCGTTGCTTCAATTGTAGCTGACTCCTTTTTCTAGATCTCAGTCCTTTCTGGTTAGGGCTTTTGTTCTGGGGCAACAAATAAAAGAAATACATGGTAAATTGCATTGCCATTTTACTTTCATCTTTTGCAGATATTTCTTAGGATTAACACTCATAAGTCTTCTCTTCTCACAGGTTATCCAGATTATGATTGGCTTCTTCCATGCTTTCATGTGGTATTTCGTATTGTTTTTGTATATGGGACAAATTCACGGAGTCTTTGGAACATATCAACCTTTAACTTACAAAGTGGGAAGTTCTTTATGGGGAGTTTTTGTGAGTGGAATATAATTTATATTGCATCAGTCATTCAGTAAATAGTATTCATGTCAAATCGTTGAAGGTAGAGGACAGATTCTAATCAAAGTTTTCAGGAAAATTATATAGCTAAATTTTATGTTGGTGATTTACTCAAAACCAAATTCCTTTTCAATACATAATCATTGAGTACATTCCAAGACCTGTGAATACATAATGACAGTGATAGATTGGCTTATCCCTAGATATGTGAAAGACAGTGAGCCTAAACCATGTTATCTATTAGTGTAGTTAATCCTCACATTGAGGCCCTTTACTATAGCCTCCTCACAGAGTCCACAGTAACATTTTTCAAACTTGTTGTTACCTGCATCCTTCTGTGGTTTCTAGGCAGCCATAAGATAGGAGGAAAGCATTCCAGGCATTCTGGAAACCTAGTAAATAAAGCATTACAAGGAGTGGGGAAAGAGCACGTATCTTAAACTCTGTTATGTCAAGCAAAATGAGGCCTGAGATTTAACCATAAAACCGAAACCAAACTCACTGCCGTAGAGTTGATTCGGACTCATAGTGACCCCCATTGAGTTTCCGAGGCAGTAAATCTTTATGGAAGTAGATTGCCCCATCTTCCTTCTGTGAAGCAGCTGGTGGGTTTGAACCGACAACCTTCTGGTTAGTAGTGAACTGCCTTAGGCACTACAACAGAAAATTTACTAATGTGGAGACTGATAGTGAATTTGATAAATTGTTTCAGTGGAATAGTGAGACAAAAGCCTGATAGGAGTTGGTTTAAGAAATAATGGAAGGAGAAGAATTAGAGACAGTAAATATAGGCAACTCCTTCAAGGACTTTTCTATAATGAGGTTAAAGAAGTGAGATAGCAGTTAGGAGAAAGTTGTATCGAGAGAAGGTTTTCTTATTTATTTCAGGAATTTGGAAGAAATAATATGTTTTTTTGGTGATTACACACACACACACAGAACATTTGGTAATATCTGGAGACATGGAGACATTTTGGGGTTTTTTAGCTGGAGGATGCTACTTGCATCTAGTGAACAGAAGCCAAGGATGTTGTTAAATATCCTACAGTACATAGGAAAGCTCCTCACAGCAAATAATTATGCAACCTTAATGGAGTAGTCTCGGAAGGAAGGTTGGGCAATCCTACTTCCATAGTGATACTGCCTCGGAAACCCAAGGAGGGGTCGCTAGGAGTTGGGTTTGACTCGACGGCACATAACAACAACAACAACAATGGAGTAGTATCAGAGTATAGTAAAAGGGAGGAAACGCAAGTAACAGAGGGAAAGAATTGATTTTGATGGGTACATAGATGGGCTATTTGGAGTTTGTGGAAGTTTTCTTCTAATGGCTTCCAATACTCATTGAATTAAAAAGCAAGATCATGAATTAATAGTGAGGATGGGGAAGTGGATTGGTTGTTTGAGGACAGAGAAGAGGATATGAAATAGTCATCCAGAAAAATTAAGACAGCACATGGCTAATGAGAATTAGATTGATTTCCCCACAGCGTTAAGGGCTTACTTGAGGTTCAGGAACATAATTGTTCTTTCTCAGGCTGTACTCCGTGGAGATATAGGTCATAGTAGGAGGAAAACTTCATTTAATTAAGATTTTTTTTTTTAACCAAGCAACTCTGATGAAACAGAGACACAGAAGAGTTGAAAGTGTATGTAAGGAATTGTTTGTAATGATTGATCAGAGAATTTAAGATGGTGAGGAGAGGAGAATATATCAAGAAGGTGAGGGTCTCAGATTATAAATCTAAGTAGAGGTCTGACTTCTTAGAGTTGGAGTACTAGAGGGCATGAGCTAAAAGATAGTAGGTGGAGTTCTTGAAGTTGAGATCTGGAAGATGTCAAAGTTATTGGCACCGACAAGCCAAGGGAATGAATATGGGAGTAAGCACCTAAGGTAGAGAAGAGTCAAAACATTCCAAACCCAAAAACCAAACTCAGTGCCATCAAGTAGATTCTGAGTCATAGCGACCCCCTTTGGGTTTCCAAGGCTTAAAATCTTTACAGAAGCAGGCTGCCTCGTCTTTCTTCCACGGAACAACTGATGAGTTTGAACACTGATCTTTTGGTTAGCAGTCAAATGACTTAACCACTATACCAGCAAAACTCCTAAGGCAGAGAAGAGTCAGAACTGGAGAAGAGAAATTCAAAGAGCCACAAGCCCAGGGTTTAGAAGGATCACGTATGTATACGTTGAAACCAATTGCCATGGAGTTAATTCCAACTTATGGTGATCATATCAGTGAAAACACCAAGAGTTAAGTGGTGTTGGAGAAAGAGTCAGAGAGACAAGAATTAAATCCATTTAGAAATTGTTGATCAGTTTAAGGAGTCAATAGATGACTTCAATCATGAGGGATAATGGGTGTTAGAATCTGATGATATGATTGATTCTCAAAGCTAGGGGAGAAAGATTGGTTAGAAGTATCAGTGAGGAACAAGACCACTGAACCCATTTTGGGGACTGAGACATGATGGATACCACTTGAGAGGGCTGTACAGGAAGCAGTAACCACTGGAAGAACCCCTGCTTTTATATACTGGCTCACAAGTATCAAAGCATTGCCTTGAAAAACAATAAAAGAAAAAGAATTTTTAGACCAAAATCTAGATAAATGATCTGTGTCCCTCAGTATTTAATCTTCCATGTTATAAAAATTGCATATTTAGCCCCTATAATAAATCACCTAAAATTTCAGTTAAATGAAATCCAATGTAAAACTTCTCAGTTAAGTCATAATTTTGAAAAGTATTTTTTGTAAAACACATAGTTCAGTAATCTAGTTAGAGAACACACTAGTTTAAAATTCACAAGATACTCTCATTATATATTCTGAGCTAGTTCTTACCTTCACTATGTTTCTCAGAAATTTCAGCTTTTGTTACCCTCTACTGAGTGTATACATTGGAAATTTCCTTGTGGGGTTTGTAAGCTTCATATTTGTCCCCGCCCCCCATGTATGATATGAAGAGCTCTGGTGGCATAATGCCTAAGGCATTTGACTGCTAACCAGAAGGCTGGTGGTTCAAACCCACCAGCCACTCCTCGGAAGGAAAGTTGGGTAATCTATTTCCATAGTGATACCGCCTCAGAAACCCAAGGAGGGATCACTTTGAGTCAGATCCGACTCCACAGAAGTGCATTTGGTTTGTTTTTTCTGTATGATATGTAACATGAATGCTATTTTTCTATAAATTATTTTTTGACTTGGATCTTTGTCAAAGCCACTAAAACAGTTAAGATAAAAGGAATATGTCAGGGGAATTTTGCATCCCACCTTCAAACAATATGGCATAGCTTTTGTAGTTGTGAGAAATAGAGAAAGTAGCCTGATACGAAACAATGGAACTTTTTTAAGAAACAGACAAAAGCATGAATGGCAGCTGTTACCTTAAAAATGGTTACATCTCAATTGAGAGACATATTTTGTACATGTACAATTTGTAGTGAACTCATAGACCACTTTATGCACACCTGGATAATCAGTGGCATCATTTCATTAGGAAGGACAGCATTAGAAGTAATAAATGAGTTCAGAAAGCACACACACATAATATGCAAACTTGGTCCCTGATTCAGGATGGCTTAGGCTTTTTTTGACATATCCTACAACCTGAATTCTGCCTACTGTCCCCAATATGTGTGTGTTACTGGTGATGCCACTGTTCAGTTTTCAGTTCATTATTGCATGATGGAAACTTTCTTAGCCCCTTCTGCTTAACCTGAAAATTAGTATATTTATTTATATTTTGTCATTCTTAGTATTGTACAAAGTAATTGACTTAGAAGAGGGAGTTACTAAAAATAATTCTAAGTTGGCAATCATTATCAATATATATATCACCATCTTAAATATATGTTTTCATATCCAGTTTATCCTTTCCGGAATTTTCATAATAAGAACAGCAAAGAAACCAAGTCCCTGTCTGGTAAGTTGAAATGTTTGGAGTATCTCTAGAAATTCCTTTAAGAAAGCTCACCACCATAGAGTCAGATTCGACTCATAGCAACCCCTCCTTGGGTTTCTAAGGTGGTATCACTATGGAAGTAGATTGTCCAATCTTCCTTCCAGGGAGTGGCTGGTGGGTTTCAACTGCCAGCCTTCTGGTTAGCAGTCAGAAGGTTTAGGTACTACACCACTAGAGCTCCCAAAAATCCTTAATAAAAGCTAAACACTCCAGCTGATCCAAGATGGTGGACTAGGCAAATATACTATCCAGACCCTCTACCACAAAGACCTGAGGCACCAAGTGAAATGGATATGGATGACAATCCTGGGACCCAGAGCTTCAAAGGAAAGGATAAAGAAATACAGCAAATACTGATTAAAAGAAGAGACTGAACAAAACAGTGAACAAAGAGGCATATGGAGAGTGAATTGCCAGTTGGCCTAGCATAGTGCAGCCATTTTGAATTAGTTCAAGCAATGTTCCAATTGGGAAAGGAACCAGATAACTGGTGCCATTAACCCAAGATTGTACCATCACCCACTTCAGTGATCAGTGACCAGACAGGTGTGATCTTACCCACCCACCCTGGTAATAAGAAGTGTGCCTTTTCCATCCCAACCTACCCGGCAACCAGTCAGACCCACTCTAACTGCCAGTGCTATGTCAATTTTTGTTTTTCTTTTTCTTTCTTCTTAATTCTTCCCTCTACCCCTTGCCTTTGTTTTCTACTTCCTATTTCCCCACCCCTTTTTCTGCCCATTGAGGAGTAGGCTCTGCCACCATCGAAAGCAGCAACTATCCCACTGCCACCATGGCAACAGAACATGATCTGCAAAGCAGGAACCATGCCCCCACCACCTCCACAGTCAGAACCGTGTGCCCCGCCCATCAGCAGTTGGCAGCACTATGTTCCTGCCACAGCCAATACTAGCAGGTAGCACTTGTACCACTTCTGTGCCTCTGTTTTTTCTGTCTTTGTAGTTTTCCCATCTTTCCCCTTCCTTTGTATCTTCTTTATTTTTTCTTCTTTTTCCCTCCTCCTATTTTTTTTTTTTAATCCAGAGAAGAATGCCGTATCCCCAATGTTTCCATGGTTAGTGCACTTGCCTCTGCTGCATCTACAGGTGGCAGAAAATAATCCCAAGCAGCAAGTGCCCCACCCTCTGCTATCTCCAGATCAGCAGTGCCTACCCCTACCCCTCTGTAGAAGGTGGTGCACACTCCTACAGAGTGAACACCACATGCTGCACCACAGTTAGGTGGCCAGCACTTGTGCCAATACCATGGCTATCTTTTTTTTTTCTTTCTTCTTTGTTCTCCCATCTTCCCCATCTTACTGTTTTCTTTACCTTTTTTTTTTTAATTCCTCTTCCCCCATCCCCATTTTTTTCTATCCTGCAGACCAGGCACCCCATTTCCACCACAACCATAGTCAGTAGCCCCTGCCTGTACTGCCTATGCAGGTGGTGATGCATGATCCTACAAAGATAGTGACCTGCCCTCTGCAGCCTCCATGATCATCAGCACCCACTTCTTCCTGTCCACAGTCTCTAGGGCTTGCTCTTGTAGAATAAATGCTGCATTTCCACCACAGTTGTTTTTGGCAACTACCACTTACATCAGTATTGTGTCACTTTTTTTCATTGTTTTTCTTTTTTTTTTTTTTATTGCTTCCCTTTCCCATTTTTCTCTTTTATTCTTATTTTTCTTCCACTTCCTTCCCCTTCCCATCCCCCCCCCACCATCATTCAGGAGCCAGTGAACCCATCCAGCCATACCTGCCACACTTGCCACCCCAACCACTGGGTGAGTGCCACTACCCACACCAGCACCACAGGATCAATGACAGATAGTGGCCAACACTTACTAGCCTGCCCTCAGCTACTCTATAAAATGTCCAACAATTACAGAGGCCCACACTCACACGCACTACCAAATTAACCAGAAGACGTGGTGAGCACTCCAGTGCTGCCAAACCAGCAAGCAGCGTAGCATTCCAACCCTGTTGCCCAGATATATTAAAGCAAAGCAAAACCAAAAGGATAGAGGAAATGAAAATATAATCAACAAATTAATATAATAACACCTTAATAACTTGGAGACATGCAGAACTTCAAATCACAGAGAAAACAAAACAAGATGTCTCAAGTGACCGAAATACAGGGCTAGAAAAATCTTCCAGAGGGAGAGAGGATATTGGAACAATTAGATAATGAATTCAAAAGAATTGTGTATAGGTCTTTTTTTTAACAGAATTAAAAAGAGATCAAGGAAAACAAAGACAACACCTAGGAAATCATAGACAAAATCAAGGAAGACACAGATAAAACTCAAGAAGATTGCAGGGAGACAATAAAAGAACAAATATACAAAAAAGGAAAAAAAAAATAAGAACTTTACAAAAACAGCACATAGAAATCCAGGTGGTTACAACTGAAATTTCAGAAATGTATAATACATTGAAAGACAACAGACTAGAATCAGTGGAAGGCAGAATTAGTGAAAACGAAGACAAATCTCTTAATACTAATCTGTAAGAACAATCAGGAAAAATTGAAGAAAGCTTAAGAATTATGTGGGACACCATCAAGAGGAATAACTGTGTGTTCAGAATTCCAGAAGAGAGGCCAAAAGAAGCACTGAAAAACTTGTTGACGATACGTTGGAAGAAACCTGTCTAATATGAAAGACAAGAATATATGCATTCAAGAAGCTCAATGAGCCCCAAATATGATATACCCCAAAAGAAATCACCAAGACATATTATAATCAAACTTTCCAAAACCAGACAAAGAAAAAATTTGGAAAGCAGATCAGAAAAAATGAAAACTTGTCTACAAAGAAGAACAGGTATGACTGAAGTCTGATTTCTTAGCAAAAACTATGCAGAGAACAAGGAAATGAGATGACATGTAAAACCCTGAAAGAAAAAAGTTGCAAACCAAGGATTACCTCCCTAGTAAAATTATCCCTCAAATATAATGGCAAAATTAGGACATTTCCAGATAAAAAGAATATGTAAAATCCAGACCAACCTTATAAGAAATATTAAAAGGAGTCTTTTGGACAAAGAACCAACAATGATAGACAACTTGAGATTAAGACACATGACAACATCACCTGGCAATCAGCCCAGATATATAAGTATCCAAAATAAAACAAACTTTTAAGACTGAATATAGAGAACCAGAAAGACATCAATTTGTAAACAACAACAACTACACAGCAAAAAGAAAGACTATAGTTATAAGACTTCCATATAGAGAAGTTGAGATGATACCAAGTTAGAATGGACTGTTTAAAATTTGGAAGATAATACTAAATTACAGGGTAACCTCAAAGAAAATTAATAAACTTTCTCACCAAAATAAAAAAGAACATCTTAAATATTCAGTAAACAGTAAAACAAGAGCAACAAAAGAAATGATAAGAAAGTCCACAAACAAAATGAATTCAGCACAAAAAAAATATTGTACAGAGAAACCATAAGCATCCTTCCCACCCCCCAAAAAAAAAACAAAATTACAGCAGTAAATATGTTTGTTGTTATTTGCTGTGAAGTCAGACCCGACTCATAGCAACCCCTCCTTGGGTTTCTGAAGCAGTATCACCACAGAAGTAGATTGCCCAACCTTCCTTCTGAGGACTAGCTGGTAGGTTTGAACCACCAGCCTTCTGGTTAGCAGTCAAGTGCCTTAGGTACTACATTACCAGAGCTCCTAGTAAATATGTTACTGTTGATAAATAAACTGGATTAAATGCACCAATTCATACAAAGAGTGGCAGAATGGATAAGAAGACATGACCCATGAATATGCTATCTACAAGAGAAACACAATAAATACAAAGACAAAAACATAAGCTAAAAGTCAAAGGGTGGAGAAACATATTTCAAGTAAGTGGAAAAAAAAAAACAGGCGTGGCAATATTAAGTTCTGATAAAATAGACTTTAAGGCAAAAACAAGCAAAGGAGACAGGAAATGACATTTTGTATTGATTAAATGCTCAATCCCACAAGAAGACATAACAGTAATATCTATATACCAGATGAAAAAGTCCCAGAATACATAAATCAACCTTTAATAGAGTTGAAAAGGGAAATGCACAACTCCACAATAATAATAGGAGACTTTAAGACACCCAGTTCAATGACGAACAGAACAATAAAGAAACTCAGCAAAGATACAGAAAATCTGAACAACACAATCAACCAGGTTGATTTTGTAAACATATACAGAACACTCCACCCAACAACAGCAAAATCTATGTTCTTTTTCAGAACACATGGCACATTTTCCAGAATGGACCATATGTTAGACCATAAAGCAAGCCTCAATAAATTTAAAAACATCAAAATACTACAAAGCATTTTCTCAGATCACAATGCTATAAAGTTAGAAATAAAAAACAGGAAGATCAAAGAAAAAAGTTAAATATATAGAAACTGAATAACACTCTACTTAGTAGGGTAATAAAGAAATGAAAACTGAAATTTAAAAAATTCCTTGACTCAAACAAGAATGAAAATACAAAATACCAAAGTCTTTAGGACACCGCAAAAGCTGTGTTCAAAGGATAATTTATGCCAATAAATACACACATTATAAAAGGAGAAAAATGACTTCCAGCAAGATGGCAAAATAGGCAGACAAGCTACACAGACCCTCTACAACAAAGAAACAAGAAACAAAGAGCAACAGATACAGAAGATAATCTTGGAACCTTGAGCTTGGAAGGGAAGGATAAAGAAGTGGATCAAATAGCAACTAGTAGAAGAAAACAGTGAATAAGGAGACAAACAGAGCTGCAGACTGTTGGCTGTCTGATGCCATGGCCAATTTGATTATTTACAAATGCTGTTCCAAACCAGGGTAGATCCAGGCAGCAATATAAGAATCAGCTCTGCTCGCCATGGACTGCATGGACAGCTGTACTGGTGGCTGACAACTAGAAAGATAAGCAGTGAATATGGAGACAT